CGCTGGGAGCGAGACTCAACGGCGGACACAGGCACACACGAACTGACAACTGGTTAGCTGAGAGGAACCTCATATATCGAGACACATGTCCCGCAAGTGACTCGCTCACTACCTGAAATGCTCGTAGATGAGGCTGTTCGTTACACGAAGTTCCACTGTACTACATAACCCCACAGGTAAAGAAGCTACGAATGGAAAACACAAGGCCGGCACTGACCTCACGGAGCGGTCTTCGCTACATTTGGGTCAGAGACGACATAGTAGTCTTTCTCTTTCAGCGGATGTTACAGCAGTGTTACAGCGCGCGCTATCGAAAAGTGTGTGTGCCTTACGCGGCGGGCAAAGCTAGTAGACTTACTACTTCCGTCACGTTCTTGCCGTAGAAACCTGCAGCAAACACGGAAACCACGAAGACGTTGATGGTCAGTGAGACACCAAGGGCGATGCAGGCCTCCAAGAAGAAGTAGAAATTGGCCACAGCGATCTGTAAAAAGAAAGGTAGGTGTTGAAATATGGGTACCCCAAGATACTTAATCGAGGTAGGAAAGGCTTCTTTTGGGAAACTTGAATCTTCAGTGCGTATATTTTCGAGGCTGGGTGCCCAGCTCGTCGTCAGACTATGGAATATGTACAGGAGCAATTACCTTAATTAAATGCGCCTGACAAAGTATACTACAATAAGCTGAAGTCTGTGCCAATAGACGTTGCGTACATTTCGTCCTCCTGCCGCGGTTGGCCGAGCGCGTTGCAATTTTGCCTTTATATAATTATAGCTCGTGTCTAAATGGATAAGCCTGTTGATGCATGCCTCACCTGAGTGCATTGCTTCCAGGATCTCATGGCTATGGTTGGGCGAATGCCAACATTCCGTGTGTTCTCCCACGCGAATTAGTGTGTGCCTGGCCGCCGGGGATAAGTGGTCTCGTCTTCAGACCGCTAATTGATGTTTGCGTACGCGGGTTGAGGTACAGAGAAGGCCAGCGAGTAATCCCATGAAATGTTGGCCGGGCAAAAGCTATGCCCCGTAGCCAAATGACTTCTTCAAAACGTACGTTTCGTATTTGTCTACGCAAACCCCTCACCAGGTGGCTTTGAGCAGTGTTGTTACTGGTGAATGGAAATTAATGCATTATCGCACTACGCTAGACGCAAAAGGTAATGAATGTAATGGCAATATGGACGGACGAGTGGGTCCTCTGACAGATCTGTGTACGCATATATGTCACTATATGTCCCCGATCTAATACCGGAAAGACCGTGAGCTCGTAGCTCAACAGTTAGGACGTTCGCCCTGACGGAAGAGATCGCCAGTTCAAATGTCGGTATGTTAGCAATTTCAGCGGCCACACTGGGGTTGGTTATCACTAGCCGATGACGCCTA